GGTGTAGGTAAGGTAGTGGATGTAGACTTCATTTGAGGAAGTTGAACCAGTCTAAATACTTGTGTAAATTTTTCTATCTTTTTCTCTTAATACCCAAATTTCAATTGGCTGATTTCCCCCCCTCTTGGTAACATTTCTAGTTAATCGATAGATCACGTAAGTCCCAACACATTCGACAGGGGTTGTTGAGGATTATTAATGTTCTTATTAATGCCTTGAATTTTTCTCGGATTTGGTTAACTCGACTGAGATTTAGAATCAGCTAAAATCAATGGTGGCTTCACATCGACGACGACGCTGCTTACCAAGAGCGCATGGGAAGCTGAAGAGCCAGCACGTGCATCACATGTGTAATTGAACGATTAACGTCTCTAGGATGATTCAAACCATTAAATCGTTGATTAGATCTAACGACTAAAATGAGTTGGCGGTGACGACTAGAGAGTTAATGATAAAACCCTAATTCCCATCTAATCTAGACCATTGGACATGTTCCAGATCCAACAATTGAGGCATGTGGCGGTTAAGGGCTAATGATAAACCCTAATCCTCATATGGGTCTCCTAGTTAGGCTTCAGCTGGGTCAAAAGCTATTATACCACTATTTTTTTAACATTTGGATTTAATTTGGGTTGTTCGGACCTACAAGTGTATCAAGATAAATAAAATTAGTTCTTTTTTTGTTCCAATATGTATTTAATATTATATAATAATATAATAATATCAAAATATAATATATATTAAAATAATATTAATAATATGATACAAATAATATATAATACTATGATACGTAGTAATACTTATATTAACTAATAACTAGCAATACTATATAACACTAATATAATAATAACCAACAAATTTAATGTTTAGGTCTAGACGAAAATAAGTGTCTATAGTAACCATACATAAATATACCAAATTAACATATTGCAATCATTTGGGGGGGAATTTAACAATACATAATCAATATTAAAAATAAAGGTAAATAGTATCTTAAAAAATAAAAATGAATTAATGAGTTGCTCATGAACTTATCGAGTCAAGTTAGAACTTATTCAATTTGACTCGTTAAGATCTCAAGTCAAACTCGAGTTCTAGTCGAGTCTATTCAAATTGAACATTCACCAAATCTTAAATGGATCCCTTACCTTTTTTTTAATATTTGATTACCGAAACCCCAAAATGATATTTGTTGTTGTTTACTCAGACCACTTTTCATTTCAATTTTTGAAACCATTATAATTAACCTCAAAGACAAGTATTCTGAAATCTTATCAACTTCAATTAAATTGATGATATTTGAAAATGTCAACTTGTCAACATCTTAATGATAAAAAAAGTGGTGCTCTCTAAAAGCCTCAGATTTCAATATTAATATCTACAAAGTGTGTGCATGTTATCAATGGTTAAGAAATATTCTGGACATATATTATCTTATAATCACGTCTTATTATTTAAAAATTAATTTGATTTGAAAATATTTAAAACTTTTATTTTATAAGATGTTAGTACAATTTTATATTTAATTTTTATATAATATATAGTATTATTAAAAACCCTAACGCCCCTTACTTATGAAGAAGAAGAGGGGGAGAGTTTATGCACGAATCAACCTTTTTCTTTAGGTCTAACTTGTTTTCCAGTTCAAAATTCTTCTCCAAGGCCTTAAGTTAATCGATGGGCCTTTTCTTTAGGGAGGTTAAATCGGTCGGTTCGGTTAACAACCGAACGAGCTTTCAAAATTTCATTAACTGAATTTTTTTCGCTTTAACCATTAACCGAACCCATTTTTTTAAAAAATTAATTAATCGAACTGAACAAAGTTCTGTTAATCGGTCGGTTAACCGATATTTTAAATTTTATATATTAAATATTTAATACGATCGATTAATTCGGTTAATACGATCGATTAATTCGGTTAAAACAGAAATTTAAACACTCTTAAAGCTATTGATATATAGATAATATATTAAATATTTAAAAATTTCAGTTAATCCTATTAATTAACCAATTTCGAACCAAATTAACCAATAACTGAATTTTGAAAAAAAATCATTAAGCATTAACCGACCGAACCTAAAATTAATTGACTAATTAATCGGAAAAAAATTTGATTCGGTCAGTTTAATCGGATAACCTAAATTTTGAACCCCTACTTTTCTTCTCAGTAGCTCGACCAACTTCTTCTAACCTATCTTCTTCCTCTAAATCATCTAACATTACCAGCAATTCACTGCTGTAAATTGGCTTTCTCTTTGAATTCATCTCCTCTACATAGTCAACAATTTTAACTCTGTAACATGTTCAGCGCACACACACACATATATACCATTTCCATGCAAGTTATATTTGTGATATTCTTACTATATATATGAGTGAATGGTCATGCCAGGTATTGATTCTTTCATTCCTTATGACCTCATATGACATAAATATTAAACCCCTGTATGGATATGGATAAGCTCAACTTAAATATGACATAAATTAAGATTATAATTATTAAATATTTAATAATTCCAATTTTATATAATAAATTTATGCATTTGTATATAGAACTATAAATAAGTAGAGTTAAGTTCGAGTATTGTTGAACTTATTATACGATGTGTAAAGGTTTATAAATATTCTTTAAAATTGTTCCAAGTATGATTAGATTTGTGTATTGATACACAAAAACTTACTATATTTTCTAATTATATTTATATATAAAATTTATAAGTCTTGATTAATCGGGTAATAATATTTTATATAAATGTTAATAATACTTTAGATGTGTGTATCGATGTGCAAGTGCTTAATCTCGTTCTCCTCGGCCATTGTGAGCGAAAGAGAGAAATGAAGGAAAGAAAAGATGAAGACGAAGAAGCAGGGGAGATCTTCGAATACCAGTGATTATATAAAAAAAAAAATTAATGATAAAAGGCTAAGAGCATTGTAGTCAATTCCATATTCTTGATATATAAGTTTATCAATCATGCAACTTCAATAACATTATTTGATCCTCGTGAGTCATGATTATTTAGTTTCAAAGCTAATCTAGATTTCATAACCATTGCAAAGTTACGTACATCTTTCTTAGAACATCCCTGCATGCAAGCAACTCATTCATGCTAATCTTCACATTCATTTCAATTTCAATGTCACCATCTCAAAGTCCAATTAAATGATGCATCCAACGAAGAAGACATGATAGAATTTCAGAAAATAATCAAACATGGAAGAACGTTTCAGCCAAAATGCAATTTATAATGTAAAATCTTTATCCAAAGCTTGGTTTTAAAAGGCGCAAGGCGTACTTATGCGCAAAAGGTCCCTAGAACCTATGCGCAAGGCACGCATCTTTCGTACGCGAGCACACTTTTATACTAAAAAAACATATATATTAGTTATGAAATATATTTTATACTTAAAACAATATTATAAATATATATATATGCTAAAAGGTTTATAAATGAATTGTATGAGTATATTTATACTCATTACCCACCGATTAATTCCTAAAATACTTATCTAAAATGTATAGATTTATACTTCAAATTTTTAATACTTAAAACTATTATTTTATTTACTTTTATAAACATATTTTAATTCTCTTTCACCAAAATCTACATTGTTATCGATTATATTTAATTTTTTTAATATCTAAAACTATTATTTCATTTATTTTTAAATGATACAAATTTATTTTATTATCAATTTAAAATTTGTAATTATTATTAAAAAAATTAATTTTTATATTTAATAAAATTTATTAAGTAATTAATATTTAATTTAATTATTATTTTAAAAATTAAAATTAATTATGTATTATTAAATAACTAAATTTCTAAAAAAACATATACTTTGGGTTAAAAGCAAACAAAGGGTGGAAGAAGTTATAATGGTTTGTTATAAATAAATAAACATTAGAGCTGGACCTTAAATTTGGGCTATAGGGTTGCGTTTGTTAATAGGTTAAATATTAGAGTTAAGAAATGAGAAAATGTGATAAAAGAAAGAATTTTCTTGTCTTCTTCAACCGTCTTCTTCCTTTCTTAATACTACAATTCTTTTTTTATCTTCTTTCTTTTTTAAATTGTTCTACTTCCTATTAATATCTTTAAAAAAAATCGGAAAGGGGCAAAGGCGCTGCGCCCGGTGCCTTGCGCCTAAAGCCAAGAGGCGCGCGCCTCTTGTATCTTGCCTCGCCTCATCCCAGGCAGGCGCCATCTTTAGTGCCTGGCTGCAGCGCGCCTTTTAAAACCAAGATCCAAAGTCGGATAAGCTTGTTGACATTTTGAAAATAAATTGCAGAGTCCTGCTTAAACGGAACATATGTGAAAGGTAAGGCATGATTGTGTGTGTGTGTGTCAGTAGTAGAAGCTAAAAAAGCAATGTTGCTCGAGTCTACAATAATGCATATGATTATGCTGTATAGTAAGACCTAAGGTTTGGTCATCAATGTATTCATAACTTCTGATAAGAACAAATACTGGTCTGGTCTCATGTCACAATTCTAACAATAAAGTATCATTTATTAGGGCATATCTCAAGGAATTGCTTACAGTGTCTAATAGCTAGTTCGTCGGATGCAATACCTGAATCTGCCATATCCCAGAGCAATATCCCTGTAGCTGATTTGCATGGAAAGTTATTGCTGCAAAATTTGAAGGAAAGCAAACAATAGATTTGATAGAATACAAGAAGCCAGTCACTTTTCAATGCTAAAAGGAAATGTTATGTCATGTTATCACGACGACATGTGCATAAGTTCATATATATGTTTGGATCATCAAACTCAATGTTGGAAACAATCAACAAGCATCTCCCCCTCTACCCTACTTCTATCTTTTACTTCGTAATTGTTCTCATGCGTGAAACTAGCTTCTGTCAGAACCCGTCCTCAAGATATCAACCAAAACTATCTCATCATCACTTTTACTATCAATGAACAGAAAGAGTAGCAGATATTGGAAGAGCTTCTGTGCATGAGAGATAATTTTTCAAGTGGGGGAGTGTGACAGAGATGGTTTTGGGTCTTCCTATATAAAAACAAAAAGCGGCCATCCATCAGTGGTGTTAATTTCTGTTATCCCTCTGAACCTCTGGTGCAAGCTGAGAAGGACTGAAGGAAATATGCTCTTCATCGCTATCATCATCAGATTCAGAATCAGAGGAAACAGAAGTGCCATCAGAAAAATAAAGCCCTTCCAAAGGAAAGCCACCACTCATAAGTTCCCGAGAATTCTGCTCAGATTCAATTTGAAGGTCATGTTGTCCCGAAACCGAAAAATCTTCCCTTGGCGTGGCTCTGTTAACCCCGTTGTTATCAGAAGGAATCGAAGTCTTTGAGCACTGATTAAGAGGACAATCATCAGGCCTGCAAAAAGGCTCTTGAACTTTCCTTGTCTTTAACTTCCCGGATATTGAGGTACCACCATTATCACCATTTTCACTGTCAAATGCATCCATAGATGGAGCATGTTTTCTCTTGAGAGCTGGAGTCTCATTTTCAACACAAATTTGAGCTGAATTCACGTTCTGGGTTGGACTAGTGATTCTCTTTTCACTCGGATTTCCGACTGGAGCAGAATCATCATCACTATCAAGATCAACAATCTCAACAATGTTTTGAGATGGAAGTCCCCCCTTCCCTGGTATGTAAGTTGTAAACAATGTTATACTCACAGGGGAAGAAAAATGTAAGAAGCTCCATAATAGGTAATATTGCTCATACACATACATTTAGCATAGGCTCTTAGAAATTGTTCTAAAACACTTGGAAATCTAATGAATTCATCATATCCATATTAACTTATAGAGATGCAATGGTGCCATTCAAACCATAATTTTCCTCAAATTTGATTGCATCTCAGGAAAGTTTCATTGTTTTAGAAGTCAAAACACTGCCTAAAAGGTACTGTATACGCATCTATGATCTACACATCAATAAATTTCGAAATCGATAACTAATTTTCCCACAAAGCATGATAAACAAATTACATATTGCTACATAAATGAACCTTAATGTTTTGATGTTTCCTGTCATAAAAACTAAGCTTCAGACCAATTGCTTATGCTATTATTCTACAATTTGACATAAGTATCTGTTCATTATTAGTCCATAACCTGAAATGAGACTGAAATCCTCATACGCATAGCAATATTGACGATCAATTATAGCATGAATTTAACCAATTAAACAACAATATAAACCTAGATTAATTTCAAGAGGGAAAAAAACGAGGAAGCTCGGAATTTTTACCAGCATTTGGTGATTTGCCACTGTGGTTCTCCAAATCATCTTGGTCTGACCCCATCGTGAGGCCATTTTCTATAGTGGAAACCCTCTTGTCCAAATCCTGAAATCTCGCCCTCAGGATTTCCATCTCAGATTCGGCCTTGGCTTTGGCACACTCAAGCTCACAGTTTTTGGCTTTCAAATCGATGATTTCATGGTCTTTTTCCCTCATGAGCTGCACTTTCTCCGCTAATCTCTTGCACCTTTCTTCAGCAGACTTCTCCTTCCCCCTTAAAACATTGTTCTCTACCCTTAATATTGAGAGCTCGCCTCTCATCTCCTCCACCTCTATCTTGCATTTTCTGAGCTCATCTGCGAGACCCATTTTTTCCAACCTGATCTCGTCGAATTTGCTAGGAGATGGGCGGGTTTCCTGTTTCAGTGACTTGCTTTCCAGATTCGATTTGTTTTGCCTTGCTAAGAGTTCAGTTTCTACCAGGGCAAAATCATTGGGACGAAAACTGGATTTTAGGAAAGAAATTATTGTGGAAATGCTCCAATCGCTCATATTTCGATTTCCGTTGTTTCCCGAATCTGTGAAGGGCTTGGTCTCCTCCTCCTCCGCCATTTTTTTTTTTTGGCGATAAGAGAAATGAAGGAAACAAAAGGCGAACAATAGAAATAAAGGAAAAGAGGGTTAAGCCTGGTAAAGAAGAAGAAGAAGATGAAGAAGCAGGGGACACTTTCAGTTTCAGAACGCAAGTAAATAGAAAGGTTTTTTGTTTTTTGTGTATTATATCCACGACAGAATGCCATAAATGAACATAAAAACGACACCGTTTTCCAAAGGAATGCATTAAAGTTAAAAATTGGCCCATGCAGGTTTCGAACCTGCGACCTTCGCGTTATTAGCACGACGCTCTAACCAACTGAGCTAATAGGCCTTCAGTGGGTTTCTATCATTTCAATAAATAACATATAAATATTAGACAACAAACGATAAAGATACTAAGGTAACGATTTTGAATAACTAAAATAGTTATTTGATTTTGATCCAAAAAAAAAGTAGAACTAATAAGCCATTAGATTTCACTTCATATATTATTTTTGTAATTGATAATAAAATAAACTATGCAAAAGGAGTGTGTAAATTCATCTATCGAATTCAATTTGAACTAAAAAATTTTGGATAACTAATATAGTGATTTGATTTTAATTGGAAAAATTTTGATATTCGATCTGAATGATACCTTCCCTTTCTTGAGATTCTTTCTTCTCTACATGGATGGATCTTAGTAGTACACTCTCAAAGTCGCACCGTAGAGAACTTTATACGGCATGCTGCTTTCTTTGACTACTTAAAATCATCCGGTTGAGTCCAATTAATAGATTAGATAAGACTCTTATAAATAAACTAATCAAATATAAATATTAACAAATAAAATAAAAATTATTTTTAAGTATATATCAATTTTAAAAAAGAACAATTAATAAATGAATATTATAAAAAATATATTCAGTAAGATCAATGGATTGAACATATGTTTGTTTAAATTTATTTATTTAATAAATAAATTTTTTATTTACATAATAATTAAATAAACAATATCCGAAAGATCTCAAATAAATTAAAGAATAGAAAAGTTGACTACATAATAAAAAACGGAATACATTCACCTCAACCTCTGTGGAATATGTTTTGATTTCTTCAATTTCTTTCCTTTATGGTATTTGAGTTTCTATCATTTATTTCATTAGAATAGTCATGTTTTGAAGTATCACCGATAGGAATGGGAATTAGTCGGGTTGGGTTGGGCTTTTGGTCAATTCGACCTGACCCAAAAATTATACATCTTTTGTCATATATGAACCCAATTCGAAATTTATACACTATTCACTCGAACTGAATTCGACCCTTCTTATTTAGGCTAAATCTAACCTCAACTCGATCCAACCCAAAATAATATGTTTATATAAAAACAATACTTTTATTCAATAACAAATAGAGATTTAATTGAAAAAATAATAAATATAGGGTATGTCGACACCCGTTTTCGTCTCGACATTTATTTTATTACTATTATTATTAATTCTAATTATTTATTATTCTTGTTTTTTTCTTTTTAGGTTTTACAAAACCCAAATGGGCCTCAATTATAATTCCATGCCCAATCAAAACCTAAGCCCAAACAAACTAAAAAAACTAGGGTTTTCATCTGCAGCCGCCGCCGCTCACCAACCACAGCAAATATGTCGCCCATACTGCTCCACTATAGCCCCATGCTCTATGCAGCCATGCTTGTCAGACAACCCCAACACACCACGCCACTATGCCATCAAATCCCATCTCAGCAACCATTGTTAATAAGCATCCAACAACCCCAAACAGAAGCAAAGATCAAATCAGTTTTTTCTTTATGATATTTCACATGTAATGGGTATATAACCTGAATAAGAACAATGTAAAAGGGCTCTCCCGGTTTTTCTAAAGGAATAAAAAATCATAGCTTAAGATTTTAATTTTTTTCTCTATTTCGAAACATAAAAAAACAGAAGCTTTCTTTTTTTTCTTTCATACGAAATCAAACCAAAGTAAAAAAAAATAGAGATGAGGAAAATGCCTCTCGGTCGGATCTATCCTCGGCGATTGGGGCCTTCGTTTCCTAATTTCGGATGGTGAGAAGAAGCATATGGAGGAGGGGAACAATGTACTTGAAAATCGGTCCAATCCAACGGCGGATGGTGGCGATCGAAGCTCAGAAGCCGAAGGGTCTCAACTCTATTTCACGCCATGGGGAGTTGTTTTTCGCAAAACCGAGCCCATATCTGATACGGGAAGATCGTGACGAGTCTCCTGGTGAAATTTAGTGCCCAACAACCACCAGCGACGGTGGTGTGCCGACCGACGATAGCTAAACAGCCGACAAGGTGGTCGGCTTTTTAGATAGAAGGGCTTCTCTCTCTAGATTTAAAATAAAAAGGAGAAAAAAAGAGATAAAGTTACTTAGGTCCCCTAAGTTATGCGTGTTTTTGCAAAATGGTCATATGTAGGGACCGATTTTATAATTTACCCATTTCTTATGCATATTATATATTTTTGGTTTAATTGTTATTTATTCCCCCTAACTTTAGCGTGTTTTTGCATGTTAGTCACATGTAGGGATTGTTTTTGTAATTTACCCACTTTTATGGATGCTATATATTTTTAGGGTTATTTGATGTTTAGTCCCTGTATGTTTAATGTGTTTTTACATTTTGGTCTTGCGTAGTGACTTTTTAAATTTTTTTAAAATGTTGATGGACTGATTTATTAATTTTCCCCTTTTTATTCAAATGTGTATTTTAGGCTAAGAAAAATGGAATATTTATGAAATGGCCCTGGTAGTTCCCGTGTGTTTATATTTTGAACCTGAATATTTTTTTATTTTAATTTATCCATGCAATTTTAATTTATTTTAATTTAGCCCCATGTTTTATTTATTTTTATATTTTGTAATTTTAGCACCCAATATTAAGCATGTTCATTTTAGTCACTTTTATACTTTATTTTATTTTAATTTTGACATGATGGTTTGATTGTTTATGTTTTAGTTCTATTTTTATTTTATTTTAATTTTTGCATGTTGCTTGCATGTTAGTTCATTTTAGTCAATTAATTTTGCATGATACCCTCATGAACATCACTTGACTCGAATCAAATAAATTGACTAAGGGTAATATTCGTTCATTTTAATATTCGTAAAGTGATTGTCTTAACGTATAAGAAAGTTATTTTTGATAATTTTAAAACGAAAGTATATCCCATTTAGTGACATGAATTAAATCGGATTCATTTTAAAATTCGGGGATCGGGAAAAAGATCATGTTATTTTAATTAAATTCATTGAGAAAAGACTGTTAGATCGAATCTAAGGTCTCGTCTCGAGTTATTTAAATAATTGAACATCCTTATTCTCATTAAATATTGGTAAAATAAGTAATTAATTACTTGCTTGATATGCTTTTAGTTTGCTTTACTTTTATATGTGTTTTCCAATGGGTTTTCAAAATAATATCATTTGAATCGATATTGAGAATATTAATATCTTTTCATTTCGGTTGGAGTAATAAATGACTGCTTTAAGGTATGAAATATCATTTATTCTCGATTGGAAATAATTTGATATTACCGTTTTCGCTCGAATTAATATTGATTTTTAAATAGAATAGTGATATCTTTGCATTTCGATTTGAGCAATAAATGACTGCTTTAAAGTATGAGATGTCGTTTATTCTTGATTAGAAATTATTATATATTATCATTTTCACTCGAATTGATATTGAATTTTAAGACAGAATAATGATATTTTTTCATTTCGATTAGAGTAATAAATGATTGTTTAGGGGTATGAGAGGTCGTTTATTCTCGATTTGAAAGAATTAGATATTATTATTTTTTCTCTTAAAATTATTTTGGGTGTTCTTATTTTTAATTAATAATGAACTTTAGAATGAAATTTTAATATTTCTTTATTTCGATTGGAGTAAGAATCGATTGTTTTAAGGTATGAGAGACTAATTCTTCTCTATAGGAAATAATTAAATACTATCATGTCCGTCAAAAAGTTCAAAGAATATTGTTTTTAGGGGATCTTAAATTAAATTAGACTCGAACTCGCAAATTTCATTGCAAAGACAATTAATTAATTTACTAGGTATCGATTTAGGGTGTTGTGGGGGTGCTAATCCTTCCCCACACGTAACCGGATCCTGGACTCAAATTTCGGTAATGCAGACTGCAAGTTTGTTGTTTTATTAAAATTAATATTTTATTAAAATGACAAATACATTTCTAGGTGCCAAATCACACCCTAATCAAATATTGGTGGCGACTCCTCGAACCATGTTTTATCATTAACCAGTAATCAAAAATTATTTTGAAATAAGACCCTATTTTTTTCCTTTCAGGGAAACTGTTTTGACAGGGTATTATTGTAATTATCCTAAAATATATAAGGTAAAATTATTATTTTTTGGTCAGATTAGATATTTTTCACCATAAACTCAAACCCGAACCCGACTCAACTCGAACTCGACCTCTAAAAACTCAACCTATTAGGGTCGGATCAGGATGAAACCCATTAAGTTCGTGTCTCGTGCCCATCCCTAATCACTAATAATATTTTTAAAATAAAAAAAATTGTAAAATAAGAAAATAAAATCAATGAATTATTAATTTAATTGATTTAGTTATTATTGTAGTATTTAAAAATATAAATTCATATATAGTAAAATTTGATTTATAGAGGCCCCGAGTTCAAGCACTAGAGACTGTAGGTATTTAAATATTCATTATCAAATAGTTGAGAGTCTTTATAACATATATTACTACTTATAAGCATCCTAGCTTAATAAAAAAATTAAAGGAAAAGAGTTTAATACTTTTAATTTGTATAAAAATAAAAGGTAAATTGTGCCATTTACCACTAAACTATAGGTGGTGTATCGTTTATATCATTAAACTTTAGGTGTTGTATCATTTATACCATTGAAATTTTAATCTTTATCAATTAAAATACTGAATTTAATTTTCGTTTTAATTATACTATTGAACTGTTAAATTATTAACGACACAATGACATGGTTGATGGTTGTTGACGTGACAACCACACCAAAAAATTATTATTTAAAAAATCTAAGATTTCGTTTGGTTTTAAAAAAAAATAGGTTATTATCATTTTCTTAAAAAAATAGAATACGCTTAAGAAAATGTATTTGACTGTAAAATTAGAAAATAATTTCTAGAAAATAAAAATAAGTGAAAATATGAAAACATATAACATATTTAAATTTTAAAAAATAATAAAATATGGTATCTAAATTTTTAGCTTAACTTACATAGATTTAAATCATCTACGAAGGAAGTTTTCAGGGTTGCAGGTTGGACTTGATGAGTTTGAAGGCTTTCTAGTTCTATTATGGAATATTTAGAATTGAAGGAATTCCTTGGTGCATGATGGACATTTATAGTTTGCTTGGGTCATTGTGGCCAATGCAAAGGCCAGGCATTTTGATTTTCTCAGTGCCTGGCAGATACCTTTCTCTAATGTGCCACAGGCTCCAACTCTGAACCATTGGAGGTCGTCGTCTAGTCCAACTATAAAGATAAATACATATGGTGTTTATAATCCGCTAACTAAGACTACAGTCGTGGGTGTTGTTGCCGGTATGCATCTGGTTCCATTCTCGATGGTCTAGCTACTACGTCTGGCGGTATTTATGAGCCAGGTTCAGCTGAACTTCATAACCTTGTTGCAACTGTTAATCTGGCTTTGGTTGAGGGCTGGCGTGATATCATTATTGAGATGGATTCCACCATGGTAGTTAATCTATACAACAATGCCAGTGGTGTAGATTCTACGATTAGTGTCCCTATACGACACAATTGTAATGGTTTTAATAGTTGTTCTGTAACATATGTTTGTAGGGAAGCAAATAAGGTTGCTCATACATTAGTTATACGAGCCCTTGATTGTAATATTTCCTTTTTCTTTGAGGTTGAGTATCATGAGTTCATTGCAAATATTGTAAAGAACAACTTGTTCCATGATTGATTAATCAATTTTGGGCACTCTTTTCTCCTTATAGGACCCCAACCTTGCTTTGGTAGAAGGGTTTTTAATGAGGCTCGCATTTCTTTAAAAAATAATAAACCTCTAAAATCTCTCGTTCCAAACCCTCATTATCATTGTCGAAAGGCCAATCATCGGTTTCCACCCAACCACTAATCGGTATATAACTTTTTATGTCTTGATTCCAATGTCTTTCTTTTGCATTTTAGGTGACGTAACTAGGGATGTACACGAGACTCAAACTCAAATGATTATGATCCAATTTGACTCGATTAGGTCAATTGCATTTTATGATTGACTTCCACAGTATGACCTGCAGAATAAGGAACTTCATCTTCCGCTTTGTGTTTTGAATGAATCTCCAAAGTCATTGAATATGGCACCGCCCATTCACCCAAACTACCGAACATAATGCCTTTTCCTTTCTGTTCTTTTCTAAAAAAAATTGTAACCCCCAGACCGATGCGGGTGGCCCGATTCGATCTGAGGTGTCACATTAGGGCCACCTGAGCGACCCATCATAAAAAAAGCGGAAAAATTAAAACTTTTATTAAAACATGTAAAATCATAAAATCATTTATAAATACAAAAGTTAACTTTACCATTATTCAGAAATAAAACAGATTTTCAGAATCGTATATAAAAACAAAATACAACCTATATGTCCCCTAATCACATATATCATACTCTGCAAGCATCGCCGAAAGAACTCCCTTATTGATGTCGATAGATGCACTGTTACGATTCTTTTAACCTAAAAAGGTGAGTAAGAGAGCGAGCTTTAGGAAGCTCAATAATACAATACTACCAGTTGATGATACATGACACGCAGATAAATGGAAAGCCATATAATTTCCTTATTGAATCAGACGTAAACTGGTTTTCGGAATAATATGGGTTTCTACTGGTAGTTCATCGAGTATAAACCATGAAGATCTCAGTTCATTGGAAGTATTCATAGAATCACGTTTTCAGGAGGTCGAATAGGATATCTAGTGTGTTCGAATCAAAACCAGTGAAAATATATAAATCTTTTAAAATCATAGTGGAACCCTCCAACCAAACTCCATTATGCAGTTCCCTAGAACTGCGTCCGTAGGGCTTACCCTCAGTACAAAACAAAAAGGGAGCCAACCTAAGGATATGCCTTGGGCCTATGGGCCTACCCAAGGGTACCCTTAGGTCCGTAGGGCTTACCCTAAGCACACAGCAAAGAAAGCCAACCTAAGGATATGCCTTGGGGCCTATAGGCCTACCCAAGGGTATCCTTAGGTCCGTAAGGACTTACCAGCTAGATCAGGGTTGTGTCTCCATACTTCAGAATCCTACCCGTATAAAAATCCAGTGAAAATCAATTTTAGTCGTAAATCGTAATATCTGGATCGTGATCCAGTAATTTATCATAATTGTGACAATGAAATAAACGTATAATTGATTTCCACATGTACACCATAATTAGTTCCATGATTAACCTAAGGGGAATGCCTTGGGGCCTGAGAGCCTACCTAATGATCACCTTAGGTTCCGTAAGAAATTACCAGCTTGATCAGAGTTGTACCTCCAGTCTACCCATATAATATCCCAATAAAACATTTTGAGTATAACCAGTGAAACATAAAACCATGGTTCATAAACCAGTAGTTTCCATGATTTCATAAATCAGGAAAAAATCATATTTTCGGTGAAAACCATAATCGGAGATCACATACCATGTTGCCATGGTTCATAAACCATTAAATCAATACTTTCATTAAAACTCATTTCAAAACATATAAAACCGTCATGTAGTACATATGGAACACACTAGAGGGTCCAAGTATTTTTCAGAGGCATTTTCTAGTTATCAGTATGGCTAACATGAAACTTGTGCAATTTGATCGGATTTCAAGAACGAGGTCATATTGAAGAGAATCGATTACTAACTGATCTAATCAAACATTTAAGATTAATACTTTAGAATCTCACTATGATTCATGTGCATCATGAAAGTGTTCAGAAACCTTTATGCAAAATAATTCTAGATTCAGATTTACTAAGAGTGATTCTATTACCCAAACAATCATGGGTACTCATGAGCATACATTGAATTAACATGATTTCAGTCCAATTGAACTAAATGGGGTATTCATAATCCTTTGCATCTGAGTTACTTGCGTGTTCAGATATGACATGAGTGATTTGAGTAGATAAAAGAGAAACTAAGATTCGAGACATTTATAATCTATGTCGATCCATCGGATTATCGAAATAACTCAGGTTGAACAACTCCTAGAACTGATGCCTGTCGACTGATCAATCTATTGCCCTTCCATGGTCTTCACTCTTTAATACCAAGAATTCTTATCCATCTATCATCTTCAGAATCATCGTTGAATATATCTTAAGAAAACGAACAAATATTCTAATGATCTTTATTTCATTTCCACATTACAACAACATCATGAATTACCGACGTAATTAATTCTTGGTTCATAACACATAGGGACAGTACATCATGCAAGTTCATTTGTGTTCCCAGACTCATCCAGTCGCTTACTAAATTCTCAGTTGTTAAGGTTACTTAGTTCATTTAGTAGTCAAGTCTATCTCAGTTACTTTAGAGTATTCCCGGGTAATTCAGACGCTTCTAAGTGTCGGATACATGTTGTACTTCCGTTCAGTTCACTTTGGTCATATAATAAAGTCATTTTGGTATTCATGGTTGGTTTATAACTTATTCTAGGCCATAAGGGTATTTTGGGCATTTTGGTGCTCAACGTTATTCCAGTAATTTCAGAGCTTGAGGATATCCAATCATTCATAGGCTTGGTGATATTCTTGGGTCATTTGCATTCCAGGGGTATTTTGGTCATTTTACAGATCCAGATTGTTTCAATCATTTCCTTCCGTCTGATCGTATTATTTAATTCAAACTTCTTGTATCTCGTACAAGCCATATTGGGGTTAGAACTCAATTATCCATATTTTCTAAGCAAAACTAGTATTTTCTATACACCTCAGTAGTATCATCTGATCAATATGTCTTTTCAGAGTTGTTATCCAACTTCTAGGGACAATTTTTATCTTTTTACAACATAAGGGTATTTTCGTATTTTACCTAACCAAAGTATTCTTATAATTTCTCATCCATGTACCTTTTAACGAGATAAATTATAATTTACAAATCCAGGGGTTGATTGTTTTATCACTTAATCACAGAACTTGTAATTTAATTATAACAATCCTCCATTTTCTTATATTAGTCATCTGAGCCATATACAATTATCGAATTTTTACCGTATTCGGATCGAGTGTATGAATTAATTAACTACCCATATGAGACCAAAAATGTTCATTCATGTATTTACCAATACCAACATGTTCCATAAAGCAAGAAAAGATAATAATGTATTACCTCAGTTTTTGTGCCATATTGATCGACAATTTAAACTCTATTTGAACGTCCTCGATCTTGAAATCAACTTCCAATAATTCCTCAGATACATATCAACAACAATTTCATCAAAAACGGAGCTTAATTACGAAAAATGGATCGAATTGGGTGATTAATCAGTGAAAAACAGCTTATCGGGTTCGAATTTGGCGAAACAGACTTCGGAATCGGACTCAGGATGTCGAAAAACATCAAGATAGGTATACCAAAAAAAAATCAACGGCCGGTCAACGGTTCGATCAACGGCAGTCAAAGCCGATAAACGCGGTCAACGGTCAATGACTCGGCTCGATCTAGACTGGTCCAGTCGGTCAGCCGGTTCCCCATGCTGGCAGACGAAGCCCACTCACAGGGGGTGGAACGTGGGGGCACGTGCAGAGGCCTAGTAGGTCGGAAAAATTCCATAAAAATTTCTAAAATTATTATAAGGGATTTAGAGAAACTTACCAAGCTCGGTTCACAATTTAACGGTGGAGAGCTCGATTTTAAAATATCGGAAACTTTAACTTCCTTACCCCCTCACGCACCTACGACAACGGAGATAATAAGGACACCGGTGGACTCAGAACGATGCAAGAAACACGATGGTACGGGAGGAGTAAAAAACGGGTGGTCAGATCGACCGAAATCGACGGAAAACCAACGACGATCGAGTTAAAACCGATGAAGCTTCAAGTTGAGATTTACGGCGAATGATGTTGATTCACATCGGGATAGAAGTTGAGTTTTGTTTTCCGTTCAATGGTGAATCTATTGGTGGTTTCGGATCGACGAATAGTAGCCGAACAGTGGAGAAATCGGAGCTCAAAAGGGAGTTTACGGGGGAGGGAAAATGGGGGAAAACCAGATTACACAGGGAGGAATTTATTTTTCAACACATAAGAAAAATAGATAAATTCATAATTGAGTCCCTGAATTTCCTGTACTTCCAAAAATGATATGTTAACTTTGCGATTTTTACACTTTAATTCTCAATTTGTTCCAAAATACCACTTAAATTTAACACTTTATAATTTCTAAAACTTTGACCTTAAATTGAGGTATGAGAAAAAAAATAAAAGAAGATTTTGGGTTTCTTTTTCTCTTTCATTGAGATATTTTGTAAAAAGAACAAATTTAACAGGGATCATTATTACTTGTAGTTATACATGAAAAATCAACTGAAGCCATTAAAAGTTGTATCAGTTTCTGTCCTCATTAATTAGAAGGGGAGACGTTTTGGTACGTCGAATAAAATGAACATGCAATGCGTGTGATATTTGAGGCCCCAGCAACATTAAAAGTACCCACAAGGAAATGACCCATGACTTACAACACCTTTAATGCCTTTCATAAATTTGGAACTATCATTCAAGTTAAAATGAAATCAGATAAGATATTACAATTTGAGAATGAGAGATGCTAATAGCATTGACATTTCTTTTTGTTGTGATCTGAATTTTTACAATATCTATACCGTTTATCATATATAGAATGCACACATGTATAATATATAGGATGGTAATTTGACTCGAAACCAACAGATTTCAGCACGACCCGATTTGATAGGATTAAATTTTTAAGGGAGTGAGGTCGGCTCAATTGAAGGGTAAAAAAATTCTGACCTGATCCAAGGATAATAAATGTATTTTTTAAAAAATATTATTTTAAATTAAATATTTATTTTATATCATGTGAAGTTGAATCGGGCCGGATTTATACTATAAAAATTCATGTTAGGTCTAAGTCAGTAAGAAAATATATATTTTAGATCAAATCAGATCAAGTAAATGATATATAATTTTTGGAAGGGATCAAATTAATATGAAAGATAGATATTTCTCGGGTCAAATCAGAGTGACCAAAAAACCCAACCCATCCCACCCATACTTGTGCCTATAATATAACCTTGAGGTCGATGTTTGAATCTTAATTGAATTAATAAATTGAATCGATTAAATTTAAGATAAGTATTACAAATATTTCAGAATGAGACATTTTTATTTAATGAATGTTGGAGAGGTTTTTGGGATGAAGAGTCTGAAACATTGGGTAATTAATAAGGAATACATTATACCAATCATCACTAAATTTTATTTACTTTCCTATTTCACTCACAGTATTTTAAATACGTTCAATTTCTTCACTGAATTTAATACAATTATTATTTTTGGTGACTCAATCGTTTTTAACGGCGTTGAAACGATGTTGTTTTAGAAAAACA